TTAGAAGAAATATTTTCAGCATTGTAATTAATTCTAAATTAATTTATAATGAGGACAATAAGAGATAGGATGATGGCTGTTTCATTAAGCTAGTCATGAAAATATATCGGATTTTCTTTTTAAATTTGTATTTGCTGTGTTGATTTCAAAGGTACTGAGGATGCCTTGCAAGGTAAGGGTCAGTTCGACATACTGTGTATGCAGAGCTCCTTGTTATACATCTTCTTTTGAGGAAATAGCCTTCTTTGAACAGGGGAAGATGTGACATTGGGAGTGCTGCTGAGCCCTGTGGCCACGTTGCGTGGTATGGCAGCCTGCGATGCACAGCGGGTGTGACTGTGGCAGTGAGATCTGCCTCACGCCTCTCCCCATTAGCAAAATTGCAGCCATCAGGGTTCAGGTGCTTTCAGAAAGCCCAAGCAAGATTTCAAACAAGTCTCTCACTTGGCTCCACTGCTAGAAAATACTGGATAGTGAATTGCCCTTGTTTCCATTTATAGAGGTGTTAGTGCAGTGTAGCACCTGAAATGGGCAGGTGTTGCATGGAGAACACATTTTGTAAAATATCAGTTGTTTGTAGGCTCACATCACAGAATTTTAAGAGCAAAACCAAGTCTGCAATCTGGCAACTGGTCCTACATACTGTAGGACTTTTTTTAGCCTTTTGTAATTCTGTGGATAGCACTTTCCTCACATAGCCGGTGCCTTCCTACTAATCATCCTCAAAATATATGATAAAAAAGCATCATCCTTTTGGTGCCTAGATTAAAATGCCAGTTATTTCTCCATTTAATGACCAACTCTGCTTGGAGCCACCTGTGCTCTCAAGAATGGTGTATGAGATGGCCTCAAAACTGGCAAGGTCCTGACAGAGCCTGCTGTCTCTTTCTAAATCCCATATTTAGCATAGAGGGGATTTCCTTACCGTTGCATAGAGAAGACAGTTGGGCCACAGAGTTCTTCTCTTCACCTTTTCAATCCTGAGTTAAATCAATTAGCAGTTGCCAGGGGTAAGGTAGGTGCCCTGTGAGCAGCAGTTTTGGAGAGGAGTACACCTGGCCTGTGCAGCCACGCTGGTGACATTTTCTGAGGCAAAAATTATTCACCAAAGACTTTGACACAAAGTACTTCACTAAAAAGCACGGAAGCCTGAAAGTGTTCACAGTTACATATCAAATTTTGTGAGTAGCTTCAGCCAAAATAAAAGGGGAGGAAAATATGTGAAAAAGTCAAAATACTCTCTTTCAACATTTTTTCAAAATGAGATACATCTCCTTTGAAGATTGACTTATATTAAGGAAGACATAAGGCACTACATCTTTCAGAGATTTTTTTTTTTTATTGAATAAAGTCTTTTAGGTTGATGCAAACACTTTTATGTTATCTGTTTTTATTTGTCTGCTCTTGGTTTAGGGGGCTTGGGTCTCTTTATCTTCCTTGTCTGAACAATATAATTCTGTTCATGTAAGACAGGGACAAGCTCCTGGAAAGCTGTATTGGTAGAAAACTTTTAAATGGCTGGGTAGAGGCCTTTTTTTGGCCATACCTCCCAAGTATTTCCTAAGACTTGGTCTGATCTGTTTTGATCTGACTGGAACAGAGAAGATTATTGCCTTCCCTGGAGGGCAGTGCAAAATTGACTCAATCAACTGATGGGATCAGAAAAAAATTGGCTGAAAGAAACCGTCTTTGTACAGCAACTTTGCTGAGAGTAAATTCAGTAGAGGCTGTCTTCTACTAAGAATGCCGTCAGAAATACTTTGGACTTTTTTTCCATTAAATAATTGCGTAATCGTTAAATTCATAATTTGGAGAAAATGAAGAAATAGTCTCTTTTGGTTATGCTACTGGCTTAGGTTTTTAGGTTTTTTAGGTTTTTAGGTTTTTTTTAAAATTTATTTCTTCTTTACAGGAAATGTAGATATCTTAAATGGAAACATCTTATCGGGAAGGCCTAGATTAATTTACATATTCAAGGATGGATTAGAGATGAGCTGAAGGAATAATTAATGTTTCCTGGGTACAGCTTTTTTTTTTTTTTTTTTTGGCTTTGAGCATATTAGTTTCTCATTTTTTATCATGAGACATAGTGGGTTTTGATGAGGAAGAAATTCTTGTTTATTCTAGTTGTGTGGAATTGCTTTTCTTAAATCATGTGTAGTATTTAATCTTCATGTGATGGCTCTTTAACTTGTCTTTTCAAGTGTGTGTTTTGGTGGCTTGATGGTATGTAGAACATTTCCTTCCTGTACTTCAGCATTTCTAACCAAAAATCTGAGTATGTTTGAAACCTTAGCTTATTCACACTTCCTAATCATAATCCCCTTGGTTTCCTTGTCAGCACCTTTGTGGTATTTCTCTGGACACCTCTATCTAATATCTCCAGAGGTTATTCTACAGAGTAACCTTTGACAAGATCTATTACTTACTACTTACCGCTTTTAACAAGGTGAAAAGAGGTCAGTCTCTGTAAAAAGCAGGCATTATTAGAAGACTGCTGTAGAGTCTCTTGGTGGCTTGTACATCTCTTCTGGCAACACTGAAAATCAGTTAAGCCACCTCCTCTACAGCACAAAGTAAATTACATTTATGACTGGATATGACTCTATGTAGGTAACATATGTCCTTGGGAAAGTGGTTACTTCGTGCATTACAAAGCTCCAGGTTCTTTGTCAAGGTTGTAGCATACTGATGCACCCACTGGAATCTGTTTTTGCTGTCAGCTTCAAGGGTAACAGGACTTCAGGCTGTTAGTTTCTGTATGATCCATTTAACTGAATTCCATGGCCAATGCTAATGATGTTTGCTGCTGCAAGGGTTGAATTGGTAATTTGGTTACACCTCCTGTCAGAGTTCAGGATCTTCTAAATGAGAGCTGGTGTTGTCTGTTTCTTTAACCAAATTAAGATGCAAAATCTACCTCTTTCTGATTTGAAAGAACGGATTGCAAAATCTCACTTAGTCAAAAGAGTAACTATATGATCCTTTTGGCTGATGTACAAAGTCTTAGAAATGAGACAAAACATATTTTCTCTCAGATTAATTAAAAAGATGAGAAATTGTTCAGGAGAGTTTAGACAGATCCCAGAAGTATTGAAAATACAATTTAAAATGAATGTCTAGTCAATTTATCTGCATGCATCCTCTAAAACATGAATGAAAAATCTTTCCAGGGAGCTTTGAAATTTCTTAGTCTGGGATTTTGCCAATGAAGGATGATGATATTTTTAGTCTGGTTCTATCAGTTACTTACCACATTGTGTTCCTTCATGGTTTCTGTACATGTAACTCTTACAAAAACTACTGGTATACCTTTCATATGCAAATAGCTATAGTACAGGGAAAACCCCACACTATCCGAGTTTAACAATAAAGATTTTTTCCTCTCAACCCCAGACACTGAAAACCAGCTAACTTTTTGATAACATGGCTTTCACTTTCTGTCCAGAGTCTATCAATTAAGCACATGCAGCCAGTGCCTGAAATGCTTTGTCTTGGAGTAGAGTTTAAATTTGATTTACCTATTGGGAGCCCATTGCCACATGACTACTGTACATGTATGGCCTGGGCAGCTGGGGTGGAGCTCTTCGCAAAAATTAGGCATAATAACTGTCTTGAGAATATTAGAAGATATATAGGAAGAGCAGGTTATAAATGTGAAATGTATATTACTTATTTTTGCTTCAAATAAGAAAATGAAAAATGAAGAGAAATAATGCTTTTTTTCTTTGGTATGATCATATAGAGGTTAAAATATAAACTGCTAAGGCAAAACAACTTTCTGCAAGATGAAAAAGAGATTTCCTTGGAGTGTTGTGGTTCCTGATGTTCTACTTGTTTCCTGTGTCAGCAACCTCTCAAAAATTAATTCACTAAGAATTTACTTTTAGGAGTGTTTGGCATATTTCTTTTTTCCAAACCCACTCTTTATTTTTCAGCACCCAGATAAGTCCATTTTTTTTTTTTTGGTGGAGTGGTGATGATGATGGTGTAATTTTAATTTTATTTTTAATTGCATCTTCCCCTTTGGTTCAAACTCCTTGTAGTTGGAGATTTAGTAATTTACCAAACAAATTGGCCTTCATCTTAAGTGTTAACTTTAACCATGGGATACAGCTTTTAATTTTAAGGGCTCTGATCTTGCTGAGATGAGCAAGTGTTTGCAAAATGTTTCTTTGAGACTGAACTCTAGAGAATGAGACCAAGAGGTTGTGAGGCATCTGGATACATCAACATGGCAGACCAGGAGAGGAATATACAAATCCTTACTAACAGAGAGATGGAAGAGCTGCCAGACAGTTTTCTGGTCTGTTTTTGGAGTGAGAAATGTAAAGACTACCTAGTGGAGACTTTGGAGGCAGGAGGTGGTGTAGGACCAGAATCAGACTAGCCAACAGTGGGTGAAATCTGCTTCTTTCCCAAAGCCTTCTGGTTTTGTGGAGGCTCTGAAAAAAGCCATAAAGTCATCATCCACAGGTGGAATCCATCCCTGCTAGCAGCTGTTGAACTTTCACAGTAAACCTAAGTCTTAACACAAATTTAGTGCTTTGTGCATTTTAAGTTCCTGCCACCAAAGTAAGGTGCTGCCAGAATAGAAAGAAATTACTGTCCTATTTTGTCTATGATATGTTAACTCACAGTTGATGAATGACATCCGATTTATATTCTGTCTGAAAAGCTTGTATATGTGCTTCTTTATTTGTTTATTTTACTTTTCCCCCAGACTAGCCACAAAAAACTTACTGCTCATCAGTGTAAAATCTTGCACTGACTGAAGGTGGAATTCCATGTACAATTGCCAAAAGGAAAAAAAAAAGCAGAGGCTGTAGTGAGAGAGAAAAGGAAAAAAAGATGATATCTCTTTCTCTTTATTCCCGTTTATGCTTTTATGCTTCCTTTTACTCACGATTTTCAAATATTATCAATGTTAGAAATGGTACGTGTCCCATTTTTGTTGCATTAATGCTATAAGGTGGATTTATATGGATTTTAGTTTTCTTCAGGCAAGACAAAAGCCTCTGCATGATGGACAAGCTATCACTTAGAACCAAACTCCTGCTCATCAGTTCCCTGAACCAAGTGGTAGGTGGCACACAGCTTTGCTCCAGTCCCCAAATTTGGTGGCTGGGCAGTCTCTCTGCTGAACTACCAAACCCCTTATTAAGTGTAAAAGACTGTGAAGCTGTAAATACAGAGACAGTAAGTAGTTGCAGTGGAAGGTAAAGGCCAAAGAAGTTTAAAGGAGTTCAAAGAAAAGAAGGAAAAGACTCTATAAATCCTTGTGAGTGTGATGACTGAGAAGATGAATTCCCTTGGTTGGGAAGATTTAGACCAATTTAAGTGCATCTTAGATTTTCTGTAAGGTACCTGTGTGACAGTTAACTTTAAGCAGATCAAATCACAGCTACAGATCTGTTAACAGTGGAGAAATTCACAGCTCACTCTCTCTCCTCCACATGTACCTATGAGGAGTCCAAAAAAAAAGGCTTTCTTTCCAAAATGTTCGCTTTAATTTTAAGTTTTGCAAACTTGGAAATGGGAGGTCTGCTTGGCCTAGGTGGGTGCTTGCTTGTCTCCATGGGTACGGCTTTTTAAAGCAATTTTTGATGATGTGCTTGGTTTGAATTAGCTGGAGCAGAAACCCGGAACGTGAGGCTGAGGCTCTTCATCAAGAGTTTGGGCTGTGTTAGCTTTTGTCACTCATGCATCTCCTGATGAGGAGGATGTATCTCTCCTCCCTTCACTGGTACCTGCTGGATAAGGGAAAGGCACATCCCTTGCCCTGCCTTTTCCTGTAACTTTCTTGGTAAGCAGTCTGCCTGGGCTCCCTACGTGAGCACAAGCTGTGGCACATGTATAGGGGAATGCCCCCAACTCTAAGGTCATAAAAATTTTGTCTAAACATGATGTGCTACAGTGTTTCTAACAGGAAAGATCAGCTTATCGGTGCAGAAGAGGTATTTGCAGATTTCTGAAGGTATTCAGTGGTGGTAGGACTTGTGGTAGGTGGGTGAATATTCCTTCTTCATAAGCTGGAGGATAGGATTTTCCTTTCTGGTAGACCATGCTCAAGTGACGAGCAGCTCTGTGCTCCTAGAGCAGCATCTTCTGGTGGCCTTTTGTGCTCTGTTTCTCAAGGCTGCTGAAAAAAATTTGGAGGAAACAGCCCCAGGTGAATTGGAAGAAGGGTAAAAGTGTGGAAATGTGATATTTCCCAATCATGATGTTCTTAGCCCCTCCCGTGTCTCCAGGATAAAGTTAATTTGCCATAAGATAAGTAGATTTTCTTATCATGAAAGAATAATCCAGAACAACTTTGGCTTTAATTTCAAAGCAAAGGGAAAATGCGAGTTCAGATCAATCAGGAAGTTGGTGAAGGTATTTTGTGTCAAAAGACAAGTTCTTTTTTGGCTGTAAATATTGTTACACTATTTATAATATAGTACTGTTGTTTATATTTCTAACTTTTTGCCCATTAGAACAAATTTACTTTCAAGATGATTAAATGCTTTTAATTTTTTAACATCCTCTTTACCTGGTTGTGTAGTGATTGTGATTTCTTACGGAATAAGTCATTCAGGTTAGGTGATTCTGCTGTGCCAGCTGGATGAAAGACCTTGCAGTAAATTGGTGTGGTATTAAACCAGATTGCTGCTGTTTCTACTGTTGAGCTGGGACTCTGCTCTAAGACACTTGTAATTTCTGCATTTCCAAAGGCTTGGAAAAATACTCTCATGAAAAACTAAACATAGTGAGTAATGAAGGCTAAAATTGTTTATACTAATCACATCAATTGGAAAATGATCTTCACTCAGCAACTCTTCTACCAGCAAATTAAGACAGTAAGTGAGTATGTTGGTGTTAGGGACTGGCTTTACTTTCTAGCAACTTCTAGCAGTCTCTTGTCCTGTATTGTGCCTCAAAACAATGAGTGCATCTTGTCTTCCTCTGTGTGAGGGCTTTTCTTCTCAGTTATATGGTTTGTGTAAAAAAACATTACTATGTATACGCTGTAATTTGTTGCAGTCTATCCAGCAGAAGTCCGAGTTTGTGGTCTGTGTTATCTGGGCTTTTGACTGCAGGCTATGCACACCTGCTTGTACTTCAGTGGTGCCTCTTCACATCACTAAACATAGTTTTTAGTTACCTTTTACAGGCTTCTTTAGATGAAAGTTTGAAAACCTGGAGGAACTTTTTGCATAGTTTTCTAAGTAGTTGGAAGGAAGAAAATCAGAGCACTTCCAAGGAAAATACTAGAGAGTTTCGCTAAAATTGCGAGCGGGCATTTTCCAGTGCTTAATGCTGTTGTAAGCCTCCCTGTCAGACGAATTGATGCTCAGCTGCGGTTGGCGTAGCGCGGCTCGGCATTAAACGCGAGTCGGATTCGCTGTGCCGGATTCCCAGGCCCTCTCCCTGCTCCCGCTCGCCAGCAGAGGCTGCTGCCAGCCCGCGCCTGGCGGCGGGAAGGGGCGGGGATCCACCGGCCCCGCCACGGCCCCGCCCGGGCAGCGGCTCTGGCGGCGCCGTGCCAGCTCCCGGGCACCGGCAGTTCGTGGGGATGCGTGGATAGATGAATGGATGGGTGGGCTCACCCAGGGTGCCACGGGGTACACACGCAGTAACACGCGCAAGAACTGACCCACGCCGCTTCAGAGGCGAATGTTTCCTGCTCACTGAACAAAACCCTGGTGGAAAGGGGGCTTATAAAGAGAACTGTTGAGTTCGCGTTAAGAACTCGGGGCATTTTTCTGCTATGTACATTTTCAATCCATTCTGTCTATTCTTTCTGCAGCGATGTTTGGTCTAAAGCAAGCTCTCATCTATCAGTTTGTTTCATGTGTTCGAGCATGCAGTAACCCAGGGGACTCGACGTCAGACGGACATAAATCTCTCTGAAGAGCAGGGGAGCTACTCAGAGAACCGACTGTTTGCAAGATCAAGATTAAAAGCCAATGAATTAATGTGTTTCTGCTATGGGGCATTAAAAACAGTTTGCATTAACAGGGATCCCAGTATTTTTGTGCTAATATGCTACTCTTTTTAAAAAACTGAGCATTGTCGGTGTCAGTGATTGTTTAGTACAGAGCCGGTTTTTTTTTCCCCAGGAGTGCATGGAGTTTAGTCAGCAAGATTTAGATCTTGGGCTTGTTCTCTCAGCATAGTTGTAAATCATTCCTAAATCTTAAGGAGAGGTTCCACAAATTCCACTGACTTTCAATGTAAGACTTCACATCCAACAACATTGATTTATTTAAGTATAGTCTCATGCCTTTTGAGAACATATCATCTGTTTAAATTGTGTTTACTGTGTGGAAGAAGTCAGCATTTTCCTGGTGAATTATAGAAAAATGATAGCCTGACTTACACTGTAAGTGACACCTGTTTAGGAATAATTTGTTAATTGCAACTTTGAGGTTGATTCTTGTGTTCTTCAACTGAATAGGTTTAGTTAACATCACATACTAATTTACTGAATAGCTACTCAGTCTAATGCAAACCTAATAACATGTAATTACCTGCTGCAGTTACTCCGCTCTGTTTGCAGGGTTCAGCTCTGGAGAAGAGGGAGGTAGAAATACATGGGATAGAGAGGAGGTCATATTCTCCACTGGTGTAAAGTTAGGTTATTCATTCATGTCAAGAGATTGCAGCTTGTAAATCTGCCACCCACTAGCTCAGTGTTGGAAGCCTTTCTCTGAAGTAGCTCTGGTGAGGTACAGTCTGGGCTTCCTGCAAAGAGGGCTTGCTGGAATTAGCCTACAACTGCAGTGCTGGCGTTTGCATAACTGCTCTTCTGAAGCATGTAACATCTTCATTTAAGTCTAATTACATTCCTAACAGCTGGCCCATGAAGTCGATTGAAAATTTTTCCTAGTGAGACAAAGGGAATTTAGTATTTTTTGTGAAGTAATTCTTCGTATCTTCTTTCTATGTCCTGTTTGAACATGGAATATGTGTCTGACATTATAGCAGGCTATGTATATGCACGAATGTACTTTTGGTAATGTTATTTACTTAGTATACATGTAAAATTGTTAACTGTGAATGTGAGACTTCAAAGTGAAGCTGGGCACATGACTGAAAATTGAAGGTACTGTGTTGTATGCACAGTGCTCTCACTGTTGTCAGCTGGAGCTGTAGGTGCTCAGTCAGTGAGAAGAAATTTGCTTAAGACCCATGTACTGCTGTTGCAGGCCAGATTTCAGTCTATGAAAAGCTTTATGCAATTGTAGTGAGCCCTTTTATTGGTAATATTTATTTTCTTTGCACAGTATTTTTTCACGGCATGTGCTGCCATACACACCAGTAACACAGGTACTGCATAGTGATACCTCCGGTTTAGTGCAAGACCTTTAAGTTATATTCTAGCAATGCACAAGAAAAGGTGTAATTGGTCATTTTATTGTAGGAAATAGATTTATTTACATACAAAAGTGTGTAAGTAAATGTATACCAAGGGGTACAGTATGTACAGTACATACAGGAGAGTAATGATTCCAGTGTTTGTAATAGATTTCCCAGTTGCTAGAAGGTCTATGATGGTAATGCATTTGGCTACAACAAGGACAACTGTGAGAGAAAAACTTTTGTTATAGCTCTCCCCTATGGTACAAAACATTCTACTGGGAAACTGGAGAGGGACTCCTGCTGAGAAGGGGCAGTGGCCACTACTTAGTATGTGGGTATTTCATGTATGATATTCTGCGTATTACATGAGTGGACAGCATGTTGCTGAGAGAAGCTACTTTTAGTGAGATAACTAATTAAAGGAGGGGTACTGCAGCTTTCACTGTCACTAAGTCCAGGTACATATAAAGCATATGCATGAGCTGTAGTTCCTTGGGCGATCTCAGAAGTGAGTTTGGGTTGTTTTGTTTATCTGGGGGAGACAGGGTTGTTGCTCACTTATGACTGGGCTTGAGAGTGAAGTGCTGAGATTTCTCTAGTCTGTCTTAGCCACTAGATCCTTCTCAATTTTCCATCCTCTTTTGTTTTTATTTTATTTTTTTTTTTAGTCTGCCTGTTTTCACTATTCGACTTACAGGCTTCCCTCCACTCCCACTCCCTGTGCAAGGCTGGATTTTGACCGAGTACAAGCATTACATTGCTGATGCATATCAAATCTGGAACGACGGTCAAATACTCTACCCACTTGTGTCTGGCTGTTTCTTGGGGGTCTTGGATTTCTTAGGATTTAGCACTGAGTCCCCATGTCCAAAGCAGGAAGTTGTATTGCTTTTCTATTTCAGCTTACCAGTTTTCAGTCACTTACTCTGCTGCGTTTAGGAATAGCTGAAATTGATTCTTACAGTCCTGAAATGGCTCTTCTTTAACATTTTTCTACAGTGGTGACAACACTAATACATGAGTCTCTCCTCGTGTCTGGTCCAGTTTACAGTAGGCAAGGCTGGTGCCCTTTGTGCTTATATTTGGTAGCCAATAGATGCGGTTGTGTGCCAGACCTACTTTTTCCCCATAAACTAAGATGCCTCAGCTGGTGCTAATGGGTTTTGACTCCTTTGCTGTGCTTTTTTTCTCAGCAGTTTTGAATTGGTGTACATGCCCTGATTTATTTTTTTTTCTCTTTTTTGCTAAGGTGGCTGATCTAGTCTTTGCTAGTTTCTACTGATACAGTGCTTTTTTGCAGCATTACTGGATTCAGTAGCTCTCTGCATTTTAGCATGGGTTATTTTGCTTGGCTGTACCTTGTCTTCTAGGTGTTCTTGTCTTTGCAACTTAACCTATGTGTTCAGCCAGAGCAGTATATGACCCACAGTGACTATTCATTCTCAACGTATTAGATGAAGGAGTTGTGGTGTTGTATTGCATTCAAATCAGTGTCTTGCTCTGCCCCGTTGCCCAGCGGGGGGTGGTACTCCTATGAGTCATCTACTATAAATGCCAAATGATAGCATCTTTTGCTTCATGATGTTCTTATTGGCAGGATTGTGCATCACCAGCACTCGGTCACATTTCTCGTGTCTAATATTGCTGCTCGTCACAATTGCAGTGATCATGTTGCAGCTGGCTCCACAACCCAGCTGCAATCTAGCTAGTTGTTTGATCCAAGTGGCACAGTTGCAGATACAGCTGGGAGTTTTGTATAGTGTTTGTGCACAGAAGTCTTTGCTAAAGTTACATGTCATGTATTCTCTTATAGCAAATTTTTCTGTCCTCAGTCAATGCACCTACAACTACATGAACTACTCACTCCCTTCCCCAGGATTACTGTAGCATTATTATATAAAGCAGTTCTGTTTCCCACAGTTCTCCATAGTCTGTATATTTTTTTTTCTTTCAGCCTTTCCTGATACTTTCCAGATCCTATGCACAGGAGCAGGGTGCCAGCAATCTCAGTCTTTGTTCTGCCCTCTAAATTCTTCAAACGTGTCTCTATGTACTTGATCTTCACTAGAACTTATCATTGTTTTGATCCTTTCCCTGTGTAATTCAGCTGCCTGTGTTGTTTGCAAATACTTACCCAGAGTTAAATTTGTTTTCTTCTATTGATAGTTCTACAAATGCTCTTGGCCTAAATAATGATTTTTGTCTGTCTGAATTTGAAGTGGATGGCTGCATTGTTAGTTCTCTAATGCAAGTATCTCTTTCTTCTTAATGTCTCATGGTATCAGGCTAAATTCTTTTTCTAAGTATCATTTTATTTGAGGTCATAGAACTCACTGTATCTGATTTATTTTTTCCCCCAATATTTCCAGCATTTTAAACATAATTTTCTTATTCGCTTTTTGTCTATTTTTTCCCTATACTCTTCACTGTTAGACTGAGGGAATGATGGAATTATGGAGTAAAGCTTTTAAATATTGGTACAAATTCAGGTCCTTCTCCTAAGACTGTGCAATATGTTTTGTTTGAAAATTAACTTTTTTGATAAGTCTGAACTTCTTTGAAGGTCTGAATCCCTACATCCCTTGCAACTATCCCACTAGGCTGGTTGCTGCCGTGTTTTTGGGTACTGATTATTGATGCTAGAGGATTCTGTTCCTGAGGTGAAACTTTTAAAAACTAAAAGTTAGCCTGCTACTTTTGTCAATGCAAAATGCTACAGAATACCTCTTTAACTTTCGGAACTTGTGGGCAATTTTAGTAAAGTCAGTGGGATTTAACTGTTCTTCATCCCCTGGCATACAGCTGGTACCTGACATACTGGTACACCCTGGATGGCCTGGTGCAGGGATGCGGCAGTGATTTATCACAGGACAGTCTGTGTCTGCATGACCCATGGTGAACCATGGTGATGCAGACCTGTGTGTGACAGAGCTACTCAAGTGTCATTGGACTGTATTTCCTGGTGCTCTGAGTCCTATGGGGGTAAATTTGATACAGCACAAACTAGCCTGCTTTGGTTTCATGATAATAACTCAAGGAGGATAGCGGCGTTTGAACTACCAGCCTGACCTCAGAGCCATGCCAGAGCCTCACAGGCTCCGTGTAACACCAGGTAATGTGTTTCTCTGTCGGGAGCATAGTTAATCCACTGAATCTGGTTAAGCCACCCATAGATAATTGAGAGCTGAGAGTGCTGGTGTATGCTGAAACTTAAGCACGCAATCAAGTGCTTTGATGAATCAGGGCTCTAATGATTACCCAAGGGGCAAAGCAGTGGGGAACTGGAACCAGGATTCCTGGCACTTCAGTGGGAACATGGAGAAAACAAAGCAAGTAACCAGCTTAAGGACTGATTTACAGAAGCAAGTGTGCTAATCCTGCAAGTGCCTTACTCAAGTAGCTAGCTTGGGAACACCAAAAATACTAATACTACTCCTGAAAACTCCTCTTTTCTGCAAACTTGCGTTTCCTTAAATTTTTAACTTTGAAGCCTGTCTCATTTTTAATCTGTTCTTAACACAAATACTTCATGGCCCATCATCTCTTGTTTTAATTTGTTCTGATACTGATGTTTTCTCTCCTCTGAAGTCCCTTTGCTTGTATACCCTGTGAATAGAACAGAGGAAATACCACATCTGTACTTTCTACTGTTA